TGTGTGAGCTGGTTCTTGCCCTCTGGGAATCTGTCATTTTGAGGCGGATTTTGGCACATGTTTATATAATTGGGATACAGCGGGGCCCTGGAGGGATTCAATGAAAGGATGGCATTTGAGTTGGATTTGAATCAAAAGGTAGAAGTTTGGTTATGGGAGAAGGTGGGGAAGGCAATCCAAGTAGAGGCACGAGCCTCCATACAGGCGTGGAAATGTGGAAGGAGCATAATGCATTTGGGCAAGTGAAGGAAATGAGGTGAGTGCTGGGTGCAGCGCATGAGGAGATGAGCCCGGAAGGATTCATCATTATAATGGCCAAGTTGGAGCCAGGGTGTTGAGTGTCCTGAGAGCTATGCCAAGGAGTTCAGTGATTCTAGGCCATAAGAAACTGTCGGATCATTTTAAACAAAGGAATGTAATGGTAAGCTTTCAGTTTTTAGATGCCTCTAGTAGCACAAACCTCTCAGCATTATCTGCCTGTCTGACCAGAGATATGTCTGGTGTTTGGTCTCTTCTTTGTGGATGGGAGTTTGAAACACACAATTGTTTCATTCATTCTGGGAGGTTTCTGGCTGCAGATTATGACCCACTCTATGTTTTCAGCATCATTTTTCTTTTAAGAATGACATTGAGGATTACATTTCCTCCTGAAACATCTTTCTTCTCTGGCCTATCAGTCCGTGCCCTAATTTGGAGTCTATGGTACAGAGTGAGGATAAGGCTTTGCTTTTTCATTGAAAGTTATGCTGGAAAACAACATTGTGAGTACTTGGGCTGTTCAGGCAGGATCATTTAGTGGGTGGGGAATTAGGGAACTCTGTCCCCTCCCTTTTGTTCACTGCACACAGCAGATAGCCCAGACAGAACCTCTTTGCAATTCATAATAAAATCCTTGGATGATCCTGTTTTAGCTGCTCATCCCTACCTTCTCATGCTGCTCCTAGACCCCAGTGTCTTCCGACACACCCTGCAGGACTTGCTTCATGTTCCCCATTAGTTCCTTCAGCATTGAGAAGCCGGGAGATACCTCACTTCCTCCCTGGACACACAGAGAGAGGGCAAGGGAGAAAGTTCCATCTCACTGCTCCGAGGCTGGCAGGGCGGCTGCTGCCTGGCTCTGAATCTTGGCTATATTGCTCTATCTCCACCCTCTGCTGAGACCCGCAGCTGTGTGCACTTTGAGTTGTAGCCTCCTCCCAAGAAATGCTGTGGTTTTATGAAGTAATAGATGATTAAAAAAAAAAAGTAAGAAGTTGTTCTCTTTGGTTGCTTTCAAGCCTGGGGGATTGCTTAGCTCAAAGGATTCTTATTGGAATGCAGAAGCCTTTAGTGCCAAGTCATACACCCCAAATCACGGCGGATTCCTTTTTTTTTCTTGAAAAGACTAGTTTTTGTTAGTTGCTTGGTAACTGGAAGATAGGCTTAACTCATTCCGCACAGAGAAGTTCTAGTGTGAACTGGCTTCAGCTGTCATGTGATGAGGTACAGCTAAAACTGGTGTGTGTTGAGGGCCTGCTCTGTGCTTTCTCCGCCCCGTACACCATCCGTGCATGGAAGGTGTTATTAGGTCCACAGAAGTTAAATGAGCTGCTCAGGATTGGAAGTGAAATCTCGGAAATTTTTTAAGTTGTGGTCAGAAATGTGTTTGGAAGGGCTTTTGCTTGTTTTCTTCTGTAAAGGATGGCAATAGCTTCCATCATGATGTTCCTCAAAGGCCAAACCCCACATTTCTGACGGGTCTGGGAGCCTCAGGATGGTGACTGTGGCATAGTGGGAGAAAGGAACACTCACTTTAGAGGTAGAAGGCCTCTGTGACTTTGGCCTAAGCCTTGTCTGAAATTGTTTGTATGTCTTTGAGACTGCTGTATATTCACCTACACACCCCTGAACCGCCCTGAGAGTCACATGTGATCAGGCGTGTGGGGGCTCTCTTATGAGCTGTGGAGGAATACAGGAGGACAGTCACAGGCCCGATGGTTCAAAAAATAGAATTAATTCAGTAAGATTGAGGCCCTCAGCTGGGACTGTGTACTGGCTCGGGAGTGGGAGGGAAGGAGAGATTTTCCCACAGAACTGGATTAAAAATCCATCCATGGGGCTACGTGCTCTTGGCCCATCTGGCATTCGATGACAAAGCACTTGTGAATCATGTAGCCCAACATAAGAACAGCATGGGATCCTTACAGATAGTCTGTCAGCATCTCAAAGTAAGAGATCAGGCTTTAGGAGATATTCCCTCTCATCCCTGTAAACTCTGCCCCCTTCTCTTTGCTGGCTAATCTCCAGACTGCTTTTGTAGAGAAAGCAGGGACCATATCGCTCTCTCTTCCTCCAAGATCATGTGTGTTCTTAAGGATACCGCATACTTCTATTTAGATGATTCTGGTTTCTCATCTTATAGACAGAGTTTGGACTGGGGTCTGCGGCTTTGGTAGATGAAGCTGGCCCGGTCTCAAGAAGAAATGATGTTCCCTGGCTGCCTCACGCCTCCTACCACAGTGTGTCTCTTTTTGGCAAGAAGCTTGAAGTTCTCTTGGAGACATTTGCTCGGGTCCCATTGTCCACAGTGGCTGTCTGCATGGCTCCAGGCTGAAAGCTCTCATTATGTGAAATCTTTAATGACCATATACAAGATCTAACAGAAGCAGTTGTTTTCGGAGTTTAGGAACATTGTTCAGCTTTGGCTTGAAGTGCTGGTTGTTGCTACTGTGGTTTGGCGGTTCATTTCTGGTGACTTGGCCTTGGGCTTCTGGAGCCCGTGGGAGGAGGCTGCCTTTTCTCCTTCTCCCTAGGAACTGATTGCTGAAACCACAGAGCACAGGGAGAGATTTCGGGGGTTGCCCCGAAGACAGACTAGTAGGTTGACTCACACAGCTTCAAAGGCTACCATTTTCCTGATTGTGACCCTTTTTAGGGTCTGAAGATACAACTGGTTTATAGCTGTGAGTTTTGCCTTGCTTGCCGTGAACATGTATGGGCGTTCAAAGAGAAGCTTAGCCCTTTCTAGATGTAAGCTCTCAACCCCAGTGCTTAGGAATTTAAAACAAATAAACAACAACAGTAATGGAAAATGGGCTTCACACTGTCATTTACTTCTGAATCCTTTTGGTATTACTGTTGTTTTAATGGGACCCTGGACCTGGGATTATACTCAGTTTCTCTGTCATGCACATAGATAGTTCATATAGTAGTGATAGGGAAGGAGGAAGTAGGAAGAACTCAGAATTTGAGGGCAAATGTAGATAAAGGCCAGTCATATGTCTATAAAGTAGATGTAATAACACTCAGAACTTTCCCTCATTCAAAGGAGATAACACAGGTGGAATCCATTTCTAAACTCTGAAGCATTCTTCACAAGAAAGAGATTGGAAGGTGAAAGTGAGCAGTTTGTCTCGTTGTCCAACAAATATTTATTGAGTGTCTGCTGTGTTTCACCCTCTCGGATACTGGAATATATTTCTTGTGGAACTTCTTCACGGTGGCCCTAAGGTTCCCCAAGATACTCTGTGCTTATGATACATTCCTTTTATTGTAGCCTCTTGGGAAGGGAATAATTGAAACCAGGACTTGGAGAGTTGCCTGGATGGTAGGAGACCTTTCTTGCTACTGCTTCTGTCTGCTTTACTCTTTTCTTTGCAAAGTTCTGCTTCTCTAGGTACTTGGCAGAAAATGTCCACTTTATAGTTTCCAAGTTTATCTCCCCTCATTCGTAGGCAGAAGTTAAATGACCCCATTTGGATCCTGAGTCTAACTTCTTTGGAGAAGGAATCTGATTGGCTCAATTAGGTCACATGTCCATCCCAGGGCCAGTTAAGTGTGTAAGGCCACTGGAGTCAGGTAGCTTCTATCTCAGGGCTAACAGTCCAGTCCTTTGGAGGGAAGGAGAGGAGAGAGTTGTGGGGTATATCATAGTGCATAAGATTGACAAGGTCCTTGACATTGTAGAGCTTACATTCTCACAGTAAAGAAAGAGAGTACACAAATAATTGTGGGGTAGTGTGGGTCATATGAGACTCAGACCTACCCTGAGTAGGAGATCCTGGAAGGCTTCTTCAAGGAAGGGTGGATAGGGTTGACCAAAGGGGGCAGGTGAGTGGATCCTGGGAAGCAACAGGGTGGTGGGTGAGGAATCCATGTTCTAGACAGAGATGGCAGAGGAAAGAAAAAGCCCAGTGGCAAGAAAAAAAATCTGACCACTTTGGCAATGTGGAAGAGACTGGAAGAAACAAATGTTTAGTTATTTTATAAGAATAGCGTGGGGGGTGCCTGGGTGGCTCAGTCGTTAAGTGTCTGCCTTCGGCTCAGGTCATAGTCCCGGGGTCCTGGGATCAAGCCCCACATCAGGCTCCCTGCTCCACGGGGAGCCTGCTTCTCCCTCTCCCATTCCCCCTGCTTGTGTTCCCTCTCTCACTGTGTCTCTCTCTGTCACATAAATAAATAAAATCTTAAAAAAAAAAAAAAAGAATAGCTTGGGTATGTGCCATTCTCTTTGGCTCAGACTGGAAGTTCTTTGAAGGCAGGGACCAACTGTTCTCCTGCCTTTGGAACCCATTGATGTGGGGAGAATTCTACATGGAGGAACACATTCCATTTCATGGGGTAGTTTCTTAGTGCAGTTTTCTTCCCAGCTTATAACTGTTCATCTTTGAAACCTTGCTTTGTGTCTTGAAGTGTATCCTGTGACCCCTCACTGGGAAGATGGATTGCACATCCTCACAGAGTGTGCATCTTCCCCTCCAGGCTGGCCAAGGGAATAAAAAAGAAATGATCATTTTTGGAAGGATCAATAATTGCCAATTTTTCTTTCCTATATAGGTACTGCTTACATAGCATCCCTGCCCCCCCACCCCGGCTCCCCGGCCCCCAGCCCCTGAACAGATGTTTTATGGGACACTGTTGGCTATGCTTTTGTTTGGAAAAATTTGAAACATTATTGAAAGAGGGGAGGGGTAGGGAAAAAAAAGCCCATAATTGATTCTAATATATATTTAATTTGGCAGAACATGAGAGAGACTTGCTGGGATAAGGCGGGACATTTCTTTGATCTCCCAGACTTCTTATCGTGGAAGGCAACAGGTGTCTCAGCACGGTATGTTAATTACAAGTTGGATTTTATTTGCGCTCATCCATTCTCGGGTGCCTGGATATATATTGCTTTCTTAACTCGTTTTGACTGGATGTACTGTTTGTACATCTGCATGCGATTTTGCATACTTGAAACATCTTGAATCCATCTTCCACCTCCACTGCACATGCCCAAACACCATTGTTCCTATGAGGCCTGGAATGTTGGTATCCAAGGTGAAGACCGTTCATTAAAATTGGACACATTTGAAGGAGATGTGAACAGTCCATCATGAAATGTGACTGTTTTTCCAAAGGCACTTTTTAAAACATGGTGAATAAAAGAAAAAAATTTTTTTTCAGCCCCTAAATTGAAGGCAAGAGATATGTTTTTCGAGGAAGCTGATTTTAACTGGATGAGTGGGTTGCTTTTTATATTAATGTACCTGAATCATTGCAGAGTGTAGAGGTCTATATGTTGAAGTCACAGTATTTTTCAATAAATTATGGATGTTATAAATAAGTATGTGCTACATGGCAGAGGCAATTTAAAAAATACTTGGTGTGAAGTAGCAGCTGCTATAATTAACAGAATGTCCGTGTGTGTGTAATAGAGACAGGTTGAACGTGAAATCTCAGTGTCTGCAAGTCTGTTGTCATCCTGACCTCAGGTTTCAGGGGGTACACAAGAGAGGCAGCAGGACAGGGGGAGGGATTTTCTCATCTTGAAAATGATTTAGATAATCTGTATTGAACAAATCTGTGAGGAAGACGATCATTTCCCAGAGGACAGGTAAACCTGTATAAATACATATATTTAGGGAGGCAGGTGTTGATCTTAAAGTCAGCTCCTTCAGGGAGGGCTAAATCCTCCCCATTTTCCTTTTTATTTAAAGCTGAGGGAAGCTTGGAATAGGAGTACCATTTTCCCTGTGCTCTTCCTATCTATCTCATTTTGTATGATTTGGACTTTTTCTTGGTAACAGTTGATAAGAGTTCAGTGTGAGGGGCTTCCAGAAAGGAGATAGTAGAGGGCGTGTTTCACAAGCACGCCATTCTTCATGTGAATTATTCTCCCCTGCTGCTAGGGAAATGATCATTAGCCGCAGATCTCAGGGAGTGGGGATCCACATGTGTATAAAAACGGCCTCAGCACACCTCAGGTACTTACCCCTCTCTGGGGGAGCAGGCTCTGGGGGAGTGGTCTGAACTTGACTCCAGAAGGTACAGTTAGTCACTGTTGTACTGCTGTCACCAATGGGGATGTCAGTGTGTGGGTGAAGATCTCATCTAGAGCATTCTTCTTTTGATGTGACGTTATTTGTCTAAAGTTATTTCTAGAAGGACCTTTCTTTCTACCTTCGTGCAATAGTGAAACAACTATTTCCATCATTTTAGCCAAATGGACCTATTAGTCAAAGCAGTGCTAATAGTGTGGGTGTTGGCAATACCCCATTGGCCCACAAAATTTAAGGGCTCAAAAATAGAACTGCAGGGCGCTTGGGTGGCTCAGTCGGTTAAGTGTCTGCCTTGGGGTCAGGATCAAGCCCCATGTCAGGCTCCCTTCTCAATGAGGAGTCTGCTTCTCCTTCTCCCTCTCTGCACTCTCTCTCAAGTAAATAAATCCTTTTATAAAAAAAAAAAAAATAGAACTGCAGATAGAGGAGGATCTTGCTTTCCTTCTCTTTTTCCTTGTGTGTGATTCAACCCAGGGAGTTGACTTCTCTGGTTCTTCCTGATGGCACTGGATAGTCTACACCATTTCCTGGTGTCTGATGCCATATTAAGACAGCAAGGAGTGGGCTTTTGAAGCTAGCTCTGGCTCAGATTTCAGTGTGGTGGCATGCATACCTACTGTAGAGTCACAGTGTGATTTATAGTTCTCCGTTCTGCCAGACATGAGATGTGTGACCTTGGGCATGTCCGTTCCTTCTTTGAACCTATCTTTAAAATGGGGGTCATGATACCTACCTTGAAAGCTTGTTGGGAGAGTCCTATTAAAGCAGTTTTTCCAAACTAGCCTGATGACAGGAATCAGCTGACTCATTTATTCAAAGCACAAGATCCCCAGGGCCTCCCGTGTTTAGCCTACTGAATCAGAATCTCCATGGGATACCTGGGAATTTATAGGTTAAACAAGTACCCCAGGTGGTTATATATGATCAGGTAATTTTGGGCAACACTGCTTACCAGAATATACAGGAAACTGATATGACTCTAAAGTACTTCACACCTGTGAGGGATTGGAAGTATTTTAAAACTTAATGAGCTCGGTAAATTTGAGAACAGGAGCTTCTTTTTTAGCCCATCAGAATGTGCCTGGGGGCTTCCATCCCCACCCACAACAGTCTGAAACCCTCAGGAAGCAGAAAGTTTAATGTTCAGAAATGATTTATTGGCTGTCCACTCTCCCCTGTCATTTTTTTTTTCTTATTGGCTGTGACACTCATGACTCATTCTATTTTCATTAGTACAAATCTGCAATCCCCCCTCCCCCTGCCCGTTGCCCCGGACTCAGGAGCACCTTCAGAGGCCTTCTCTCCAGCTTCTCTCTCCTCGAGCAGAGCCTGTGGACCTTGGGAGAGGGAGAGTTTCTCTTGCGAGGCGGTTGCCCTGTCCCTGGCACCCCTGGCTCTTACACCTGTCTTTCTCTCCTGTTGGTTCCTCAGTCTCTCAAGTCCTTCTCCCTTCTCTATTTCACCCTGCACAATTAGGACAAAACAAATGAGCCCTCTGAGCTTTCTCGAGTGTAGAATTGGGACAATGACAGCACCCAATCTGGGGCATTATTGTGTGGGCTGACTGAGGTAACAGAACTTCCAACACATTGATGAGAAATTTTTTGAAGGGATTGGCTATTTTATTTAGTTCCCTTTCTCTATCGATTTTGGCAGAGAGTCTTTGCATTAAGTTTCTGGCATAGTGGAAAGAGGGAAATCCTTGTAGTCAGACTGACCTGGGTTCAGTGTCTCTGTCGTGTACTGTCTACAAGAACCTGGGGTGAACTAGTTCCCCCACTGAGCCTCAGGTCCTTATCTGGATGTGTCCTCTTAAGGCCATTGAGGGAGTTAGAGGTATTGTACACACAGTATTACAACAGTGCATTGTTCTTTTAATAAAAAAATACCCATTGTCTGTCCCCTTTTCTAGAATAAGGGTGATGAGGGTCTGAGTTTGAATGTGCCTATACAAAAGACTTTGGGCAGTGAAACATGAACTTGGCATCGTTTGGGCCAAGGAGAGGTTCAGATTTGGTCTTTTTTTGGCTCTTACTATGATTGTTTTGGGAGGCTTTGGAGAAATGAGTGCCAGAAAAACTAGAGGGTGTTTTTTCTTTCTTTCTTTTTTTTGCTTTTTATTATTCTAGTGGAGTCAAGGCTAAAAAGTGATCAGATTTCACCTTGTCTTAAAGATTTCAGACTTGTTTTTGGCAGTGACGTTGTGTAAGAAGTCCTCCTTCTCCTCTTCCCCTATTTGGCTTTGTCCTCCCCTTTTTGTCCACCCACCTTTAGTTATTGTTCTCATTCCCCTAAATATGGTAGCTACCCTTGTTTATGTGGGTCACCGAGAAAGTCACCACCTGGCCTTTGATTAATTTGTAAATCACCATTCTTTTCATTATATGAATGAAAATAATGATCGCTATTTTTGTTATTAATGCGATTGTTATTTTCAGGCACCTTCTCCCTATCTGTGCTAGGCATATTAGCAAATATGAACCCCATTAGTCCTCATGACCATTGGTTACAGCAGGTGGTGTTATCACCATTTTGCAGGTCAGAAATTGAAGCTGGATGCTTTAGTGATTTGCCCCGTTCTAACCCTTGAGTGGGTCACTACTCAGAATTTTGGTTACATGACAAATGGGAAGTCAGAAATTTGAACAATGCAATTTTGTATTATCAGACAAAAACATATTCATATATATAAATCCTCCCTCTAAAGAGATTTGAGATGACTGGTAATAGGATAAGATAAAAGGTGATAAAATATGTATGAAAAATCACAAAGGAGTGAAAATATTACTAGAACAACTAAGATGAAGCTACGAACTTTGTAAAAGCTCTAAGATTCTTCATAATTACTAATAGATTTGTTTCCAAGCTTCCTAGTGGCCAAAGCAAAGATTAGAGCATTATCAAGATTAACTGAGTAAACAGATAAGAACCTTACTGCTGTTCAGGAGAAGTAGAACTCTTTCTAACACTGGAGAATGAGAGCAATTTCTCCTAGTTATCAAAGGTTCGCAGTATTCTATAAATTATTTAAAAGTGTGACTTAATAAGTTTAATTATAATTTCAAATACACTTTATTTTAAAACAGTTTTAGATTTATAGAAAAGTTGTAAAGACAGTATAGAAGAATTCCTAAATATTTGACACCCAGTTTCCCGTATTATTAATATCTTACATTAGTATGGTACCTCTGTCACAATTGATGGACCAATATTGAGACATTATTATTAACTAAATTCCATACTTTATTTATACAGCTTTAGTTTTTACCTAATGGCCAGGTTCCTATCCAGGATACCATAAATGTATGTGGGTTAGTCATATCTCCTTAGGCTTTTCTTGGCTGTGACAGTTTCTCAACTTTGTTCTTGATGACCTTGACAGTTTTGAAGAGGACTAGTCATGTATATTATAGGATGGCCCCCTAATGGAATTTGTCTGATGTTTGTCTCATCATGAGACTTGGGTAGTATGTTTTTGGTAGACCACAGTACCATTCTCATCATATCACATCAAGGGTACACGCTATCAGTGTGACTTCATGTTGATGTTGACTTTGATCACCTGGCTAAGGTATTGTTTGTTAGACTTTTCCACCCTTAAGTTACTCCTCTCCTCCTTTTAGATGATACTTTTTGGAAGGAAGTCTCCATGGACAGTAGGCATGTAGGGAGTTATGTTTCACCTCTGTGAGGGCAGAGTATCTACATTTATTATTTTGAATTATTCTGTATGGGAGATTTGTCTGTTTTCAGTTCACTTATTTTCACTTCTTTGGACTAAAAGAAA